AGAAGCAGGAAAGGAATTGCTGGCATTCTCTAGACTGCCCACATTGCTGTACAGCCCACCAAACTCAGTGGACTTTGCAGGTGATATGTCACCTTTGGGGAGAGTTTGTGTTTTTTCATACTAAAACCCCTGCCCATGTTTGCAGTAGAATAATTTATGGATCCTCTTCCAACTACAGAGACATTGCTGGTGGGATTTCTGAGGCCTTATGCAGTGTGATGAGACATCCTGCTGAAGAGAATATAAAATCTCGTCTGAATTGAAAAACTAGAGGTATTTATCAACAGAGAGCAAAGACTCAGGCAGTGCACATTATCTACTGCAGAAATTACCAAGTGCCACATGCGTTGAGGGAGATGGATGACCATGGATGCTATAAAGATGAAAAAAAATTAATAACTACTTTTTCCCCTGCAAGTGTCACGATACAACCTTTAAAATATCTAGATGCTACTTCCCAGCAAACTATCTTTTTTAGTCATACCATTCAATCCCAGCTGAGCCTGACCAAAAGGATATTGCAATGTCCTCTTCAAATCCTAAATCTACCTTCCACTCCTCCAAAGCTGGTGTAGGTTAGAGGTTCCTCAAGCTCAGATCTTAGCCAAGTCCAGCTCACACTCACATGATCTGTAGAGCACAGAATTTCACTTGTGCTGAAATTTCCAAAGATCTTAGCATTTTGCATAACTCACTACCAAAAATTAGGCAACACAGATTGATGTGATACATTATTGTGGAAGAAGATTCCTTAGAAAGGAATAGGGTCAAAGTAGGGAACTCAGCTAGGTGAACTCTTATGTATTTCACACAATTTTTTCACCCTCCTCCCCTCCCTTTCTTTTTCCAATTCCAGTTTTTCAATTTTTCCATCTATCCATTTTCAGCAACTAATTACAGAAATACCCACAAGATACTATCCCAGGATCCTGCAAAGAATCCCAGCACAGACAGCAAATAGTCACTATGACTAAATACTGAACAGACTTTGGGCTGCAGATAAGCCCAAGGGACTTGATGAAAGCTTGAATCTTGGTAGAAGCCAGCTGAGAGAAATTGCTGGTCCATTTTTAGGCTCTCAGTGCTACTACACAGGAGATGCTTGGTTTAGCAAGGAACCCTAGGGATGGGCCCCCAAATAAAGTCCTGTACAGATGTTCATAGTACACTATGTCGCCCAGGGTCCCATGGAAGATGTTATCTATTCAGGAGCATGGGGAGAAAAAGGGAGGGAGAAAAGAGGAAATGTCTCCTGAGCACACACAGAAATACAAAGAAAAGCACTGGCTGAGTTCCAGAAATGAGAATCTGGCCCCACTGAAGTAGGTGGGAGCTTTGCCACCAGATTTCAACAGAGACATAATTTCACCCAATGTGAACAGTACTCTGGAAATATCCTCCCTCCAGACACACTGTGGGAGCTCTTCTGGCTCTGCATACTCACTGGAAAAACAGAAAGGGAAATTAAACGCGAAACAAGACAACAATACCAGAATGATTAATCAACAAGCAAAAAGGATGCAACAACAATTAAGCAAAAAGTATTGCAGAAGTGGGTGGAAAGAAGAAGGCAAGTCCTTTACCTCCTGGAGCACTGAACTTTGCCAGAAATAAGGAGGGATGCAAGGACTCATGGCTCTGGGTTCAGGATGCCACGTCAAGACTGCACTGGAGGCAGTCTGCACAGATTCAATAACAAGAGGGAGAAAAACTTCTAGCACAGATTCAACCTTGGAGTATGCTCCCGTCACTAATGCTATATAAAGAGGCCAGAACCTAGCAACTTCAGCAAAGATTCCTAGGAGCAATCAGCGTCATTGCTTACAAATTCCCAGGCAGGCTAGTTCACAGAAAGGGCACGCTCAGCAAGCTCTGCAGTTGTGTAACTGTGAGGATTCTGGAAATGAGAAATACAATGCCTGAATACAATAAACAGACACAATGCCTCTAAAGTTCCATCTATATGACAGCTATGACCCAGTTATTTAGTCTACAGTTTCCCTCTGATTTAGTTAGCATTTGGTTTCATACCACAACTATATGAGTGGTCCTGGATGTTCCTCTCTCACTGGCTTAAGAATTCAGGCTGCCTAAGATGCTAAATTCTACCTTTCAGAGTGTCTGAACACCCCAAATCCACATAAGGCAGCTGGAGGGACAAATTCCCATCACTGCTGGAACTCAGCCCCTAACTCCCAACCCAAGACCTCTTCTTTGCTGTAGCTCTGCTGCAAAAAGTGACCAAATCACTCTGTTTCTAGGAACTACTGCAAATTGCACCACTTTGGATGTGGTGATGACAGCATGTAAACTTGCACACCTACCACTGACTAATACTCAAGTATTGTATTCCACTTTGAGATGAGAAATCCAGATGAAGATTCATGTCTACATATCAGTGATGGGTGAGTGACAATAGCTAACCAAGCATTAAACCAGAGTCCCCTAGTGACTATGTGTGACAGGAGCAGTGTAGGCAGGCACACAGCAAGGTCTGGAAACTCTCAAGGTCCTTCGAGCTTTTCTCAGGACTCATTTTTCCTCACCAAATGACTGGAAAGGTCTCTTTTAAGCAGTGGGTCCACAGCTACCCCTGCGATGGCGTGAGGCTCACAACCTTCTCAGGCCATCTGCCGGCATCCCCTCTCTGCTCTCTTCTCCCTCTCTCTCTCAAATAACCAGGGAGAAACAACCCTTTTCACAGTCCTTTCCCAGACCACAAGGCTAGCTTCTTCAGGGGATGGAGATCTCCTGAAGCTCCATGGTTTGCTACCTCATTACCCATGTGCCTGGACAGAACACTGGTGAGAGTTCTTTGTCCATGGGCTCTGCTGTTAGCCCTTAGGGTTGCCCAGCGTTGGTGTCTATTGCCCAATGTTATGAAAGGTAAGGGGAAAAACAGAGGGCACCAAGGCAAAATAAAGCATCTCTGCAGGTCCTGAAGTACACTGCTGGCTCAGACCAAATTTTCCACCCAGTTACTTAGCTGGCAACTTGGAAAATGAAGAACAAATGTGTTTGGACTGACACTGATCCTTCTGCAGGCTCTGGAAACAAAACCGGAGGGGAAGAGAGTGGCTGGAGAGTTATTGAGCTCTTGTGCTCCCTGGCTGCCTCAACACCATTGTTACCCCTGGTGACAAACCACAAGGACCGCTTCTCAGTGTGCCAGGATCCTGGAATGAAAAGCATGGACTATCCTTAGTGCCAGACTTTGTACCAGCTGCTGGCTCTTCTCAGCATGTGCCATGCAGCTATGGGTGTAAAGGGCACACCACGGCCCTCCTTCCCAACTTAAATAGTGGACCTTGTAAAGAACGGTGGGACAAAGATAATTATGTGCCAGAGGAGCTACTCACATCAGGAGTGTTAAGAGGCTACAGCCGAGACCAGCGTCTAGCCCAGTCTTTAGTTACACTGTGGTACCATGAAGTAAAATCTTTCGTTTGTGGTTTAAATCAGCCTCAAATGCATTTAAGAACAATTACTGGAAGGAACAAAAGAACATCTCATTTTGAACAGCTCTTGCCAGCTCTTAAGGAGGCTTGAGAAAGTTGTATGCCACCAACAGACAGGCTGGCCACAGATGACAGCTGAGCCTATAACCCTGCTGCTCACCCCTTCCTGGATCCAGGACTTAGACCATAAAAGGACCAAGCTTGAAACCAGTACCTAATCCACAAAGGGAGAACTTAAAAATCCACTTCTGAGTCACTTGTGGCTAAGGTTGCAAGTCCAGAATTTGCAGAAGTTACTTCCACTGCCATGACACTGGCTGCAGTATAAGGGAAAATGTGGTTATCAAGTCTCTCTATGGAGTAAGGAGACTAATGTAAAATCATTTCGGCCTAGTCCCCTCATCTCTCTCCTACCTTTTACACATCATATTATTACTTGCCTTCTTTTTCACACTCAGACCCATAGTAATACCTAGAAATGGTTGAAAATGTGTCATGTTTGCCAGGACCTACTCTGACTCCATGCACAAACCTATATTTTATCACATTCTTCTACCTCCCTTCAAGTATATTTGATGATTTTTTGCAATAGTCTTGTCAATAATAACATACCAACTGGTATCAAACAGGTATGTATTTTCTACTGATCTGCTATTTTACCTAAAAATGAGAATTTTAGACTAGTACAATCCTCACTCGAAACAGCTGACAGCATTCTTTTTAAACTGTCAGAAGTAGATTTTCAACAAAGAACATCATTTTTAGGAACAGAGAGACACGCAAACATTTTGAAAGTTACTGGTTCAAATGGTGCCCCTTAAAGAAGTGAAAACTAAACACATTAAAAACATCCAAAATTCTATTTTTTTTTTGTACAAATTGGCAGCATTATTTCACTACGCACAGGTTTTCAAGTAGAAGAACTCTGACCATCAGTCCTTCTGAAAAGAGAAGCTCAAGTATGAATAAATAACCAGATGAGCTTCAGTCGATGTAAGAAGATAAAGGAAAGGCAAAACCAGAATTCAACACTCTTTTTTTCTTGATCGAAGGCAGCAAAAGTGATTGTTGTGTTCACAATTTATTTTATGATGTGCAGGTAAGAATAACTTCCACATAGTAACATGTAGGCCAGTGAGGAAAGGCAGGCCAAAGGACATGCACCAACCTGCTTCACAAAGAAGCCCAGTGATACATGGTGGGTTGTCATGGTGAATGGGATCACTTACTATAAACAATATCTGAAGATGACCATAAATTTATGACTGAAATAGCTTGTTCTGTCCATGCAGGGCACTCCAATTAGAGTTTGCTATTCAACACACCGATTTGCACACAGGCTGGAAGTGTTTGCAGCACAGCAGAATGACATGGTATTTAAATTTACTTACCCTGTAGATTTCCACTGAGCTTAATGTAGGGCCACTGCTCCAGTGAAAAAGCCCTCAGAGGCCATGCTTCCCCGCACTCTAGAGATCGGTTTGTGATTCGGGATTCTAAATGCTTATTTCAGTGTAAATTCTGCCAGAAAGAGGAACTTACTGCTTGTTGTGAAGTTACCCTCCCCAACCTGGGGAAAGGAGTCTACGTCTTGGATGACTTGTAGTACTCCCACAGTCCGCACCGGGGGATCCAGGGCTACGGAGCTCTCGTTCACTGTTATATCGCTGGCTCCCGTTATCTGGTTGGTTGGCGGTCCTCCTATGGATGCTTCCAAGTCTGGAGGTATATCATCCATGCAATCTGCATTTGGCTAATGGGAAGAAAAAGAAGAAAATTGAGCTTTAACCTGACAAAAAGATTTCATTTACCTGTTCCCATTTCCTTAAGTTTTTTTGCTTTCTTTCAGTACTGAAAATGGCAACATATGATGAATAAACATGCACAGTTTGTTTTCATGTACTTAAAACTTCTTAATACAATATGTTGCAAGAGAGACCCGAAATATGCTTTGGAAATAAATATTCAGTATTAAACTGTGTCACCCACAATCTCTAAATATTCTTATTTATACTTTTCAAAGGGTTTGGGAGAGTGCGCATTAAAAAAGTAACTCACTTATTGATATGATCTGCTCAACATAGGCAGATTGCTGAGTCAGATTACAAATGTAAACAGAGACAGTAGCTGAAAGGGAATTATTATCTTTTCCCTAACTATACATTTTATAGAGCCGATATCAGAGCTTTCAGGAATATGAATTCGAGGGAATTGCCTGTGGGCGCATCTATGTGTGGGGTGCAAAAAATAGAAGCTAAAGCTGTTTATAAGACAAGTTTCTTAACATCAAAAGATCTTTTCCTTTATTAATGCTGTATTTCCTAAAAAATAAAATTACAAGGAAAGAAGCAATAATCAGTATCTGAAGAGTATTATTTGATCCATAGTCCTTCTTGATTTCTGATTCAGAGAGATCAAGGATGGAACCCAGTTCTGGGGAATTCAGACACTTCTCTCTCGCAGCTATATAGTGAATGCACCAACACCTCCAGAGGCAGCCAAGTTCTTCAGGTCAAGTGTCTGCCTTTCCACTGACCTTCTGGGGAAGCAACGAGAGGGGGTTGTGGCATCCACCCTTTGCACAGTGTCCTTAGCATTGAGTGCCTGTTCACAAAGAGCACTGAGACTTCAAGTGGGCACTGGGCAGCAAAGAGGATCATTTGTCCAGAGGTGCTATATCCAAGACTAGTTTCTACCCTTGATTTCTCTGGGGCTGTTATAAGCCTGATGCTCCCATTCATACAGCAGTGATTTCTGTGGATGTCCATATAAACACTGGTGACAAACATATGAGTAAAAAAAATCTCTTTTCCCACTAAGAGGAAACAGATTCTTGCACCATTTGTCCATAGAATGGCCTATTCCTCCCTAAGGCATGGAGAAAAATCGTTTGCATAACTATTTCAAGAACTGGGTTTTGAAGTTTTAACGTATCATAACAAAAACAAAGCTAATTCAGCAATGAGGATGCTGTGTGTCAGGGTGCAAAGCTTCCAAAATGACAGAGGGACATAGCAAGGTTGAGCTGCAATTACACAGACACCTTGTTAAGTTAGGAAACATAAAGTTAAGTTGTTCCCATTTATCTTTGTTGTCCAGGAGTCAGACAGCTAATCTGGATCAGTCATTTAGGTTTCCTCCAACTCCAACAGTTTGAGACAATTTCACTGAGTTATTCATCCCACCCTAGCGTAAGTGGTACAAATTGCTCCCTCTGCCTTCCCACTGCTCAGCACTAAGCAGAGACAGGGCTTAAGCTGCTAGACTGGAAATCCAACGTCTGGATGGCTAAGGTCAGAGGAGATGTACTCTGCTCTGTGGTTCTGATTTTTGCTGTGCTTAGTTGTCTCACCTGCTAAGACATTTTTGAAAATCTCACTACCTGCCTATCTTCAACAGCTGGCACACAGAAACTAAGGAAAATATGATATAGGAAAGACTTAAAACAGAGGTTTAGCTTTAAGCACAAGAGTAATCCCTTTGAACTCAGGCATAGAAGGTCACCATATGCTTACATTTTTTTGCAGAACCAGGAACTTAGAATGTTTTGTCTTTTTCCATACATTCCTGGTCTGATTGTTGCCACCTCATAAATACTTTTTCACAAATGTTCCTAATGAAAAAGGCAGGCATTTTAAACGATCCTCGGGTGACTTGTATCCACAAACTGAAGTTTGGGATAAAAATTAGAATTGTCCTTGTCTGGCTCCAGTCTAATCCACAAGCAGTGAGAGCTCATGAGAACCAGGAAAAAGGCACATTCAGCTATAGCAAGTTTTAATGAAACTCACTGAACCTGTACTTTTCTAAGTGAAATACCAATCATTTACCAGTAGAACTTGGATCCAAAATTATTACTTAGATCTATCACCCTTTCCCTCACCCTTAGCTATTATAACAAATGCTTTCAGCATTTCATTTTTAACTTAAATTTGGCTTTGATGGCAGTGTATCTTAAAGAAAAAAAGCCTGTTTTTTCTTTTTTACTCTAGGAAAAATTATTTCAAATTTTTTTTCAGGGGATCAGTTGTCTGTACATTGCTCTGATTCCAGTTGTTCCTAGAATAGGGTTTTATCACTAAGTTTTAAACCTTTAAAAACGGGGCATTATAATTGAAAGCCAAACTAAACATTAAAGAAGCAAAAATAGCATTGCTCGATATAATTAATCCCTTTACTCCTGAATCATTTTAGTTGGAAAAAATACCCCAAACTAAGCAGCATACTATAAAACTAATGATATGAAACACTGATCGAAAAAAATACATTATGGCTTCTGCTGTCAGAGTGACCCAGATACATTTGCTAAGTTTAATTATATTGGTTTCACTCATTCCCTGCATGTAAGTGCTTTGAGGGCACAATTCCACTAAAGTCAAGGGAAGGCTTTGTATTGACTTCTGAGGGCTTGGCTAAGGCTCTTAGTGAATAGCTTCAAGTCATCCAATCTGCTGCCAAAAATGCAGCTGTCTGCATATCCAGCAGATATTTGCAGAAAAGGGGAAGAAGCAGAGGGAAACTATTCTGTGTGATATGATCATCCCAATAGCAATGTAGCTCTTTGAAAGATACGTTCATTAATAATTTACTTCAAATATTACAGCCAAAAGAGGTATAGTCTGAGCTGAATTCACCAGCAAAGAGACAGTGGAAAAGGTTATGCCAACCGTTTGCTGATAGATAGTTAGTTAATAATCCTCTGGAGCTGCAGAGAGCCATGGTGAAAAGTGAGAGATGCCAGGGTGCTCAGCTACCATGAAAATGAGCGCAGTCATCTCGGTGCCTCACGGCAGCCTGGGGAATCTGGTTTTAGGGCAGATAATATTTGAAGTCACTGTTACAAAGTAAATGGAGAGTTTAGATATTAATTGAATTGAAGCATTTAGATACTTGGGTTTTAACCAATCATTTCCTGGAAAATCCCCAGTCTTCCTGCTAAATGAAGCACAATATATCCACAGTCACACAAGCCAGCTCTTTAACAACAACCATAGGACAAACATGCAGCTGGCAGGAAAAAAACCCGTATTAGCCTTGCCTATGGTAAGACATACTCATTCCTTCCATTGTAAAAGCTTGCAAAAAGGACTTTGGCAAATTTGTGCTCAAATGTCCCATCAGAGACTGCTGCCTGCCTAAGGCAGCTTTTCTGTGTGTGGAAATTTTAGCTAAGAATGCTCATCAGGACTCAAGAATGTGATTAAGGAATGGCATTTTGCTTTATTCACTCTGCAGAAATGTCTGCCACCTCTCACTGAGAAGCCCTAGAGCTTTACAGCTTCTTCCAGGGAAATGTCCTTTCCCACAGCAACCTACTGACATCTGGCTAAGTTATGAGCCTCTGAAAATACCAGTTCATGTGTGCTGATAGAGACTGGTGGCTTATTCAGGACTGACAACTACACTCTCCAAAGAGAAGAGAGCTTGGCATGGTGCCTGCAAGCTCATGGTGGGACCAGAAAGCACCCCATAGGATCGATGGCCACCCCGAGCTGCCTTCAGCTGGTGCCAGGCAGCTGGAAGTGTGAGGACACACAATTTCTGCATGGGTAGAGAACAGGTCGTGCGAGCTGAGGAGGGAGCACCAGACCAGGTCAGGAGCTCAAAAGGATTAAGGCTGGGCAGGAGGGGTTATGGAGAGGAGAAGCAGGAAAGGGCATGAGGTAGAAGAGGAAGAGACAGGAGTTGAGACATATTTTAGAAAGAGAAGGTGGAGAAAACAAGAGAAAGAGGAGCAACTGATAGCAGTAAAGGAATTTTTAACCCTCAAGCTACCAGATGCTCTTAGACTCCCACTTCCTTTGCTGCCAGTCAGAAGAAACCCTTGACGGGAAGGCTCCCAGTTCCCATGGATAACAGCTCCTACTGTGAACCACCTCGAGGGGTAAGGCTGTAGCACACAGCTCTCCCTTCATGAACCTAACCGATGATCCATGCAGGTGAGAGCCAGCATGCTTCCTCCCAGTGGTGGAGCAGGCTATTTTCAGCTTGTTGTCTTAGAACAGCCTAGGGAAATTTTTACAGAAATTCATACAATAAAATCCTCTAAACAAACTTTGCTAGTGGAACACTAACATCCAAGCACTTAATTTTTAGTGCTAAGACAGACTGGCATTAAGGCTGATTCTGAAATCTTAATTTGACCCAGTTGTTTATGTTGGTTACAGCAGTATTTTTAATTACATGCCCAGTACAATTATTTCCACAGAAGCTCTGCAGAAAACTCACAGTGAAGGGAGCAGGATGGATCCCCTTCTGCTATGTGGTATAGAGAGAGTGGGACAGGGAGCTGTGAGAAACAATGGCTGAGGAAACTGAACAGTGCTTTTAATTATTCCTCGTAATTAGGTTCTATACCTGCCACCACAGAGCTGTTCATATGTAGTAAAAGACAGTCACGTAAACCAAAATCTTGATGCGTGGCCTCTGGGCATGTTTTCCCTTCCACTCAACGTACCCAGCCTCAGACACGCCTAGGCTTCAGCAGCTGTCAGTGAAAGCTGTATTCTGGATGTCAATACCAACAGTACTAAACTTTCCAGAAAGACCTTAGTACCTCATTGCAGACCTCCAAAAAGTGGAGGTCTGATTTGTCTCTATCTCCTGATTATGGATGAAGAGCTTGTTCATGGAATGCTTGAGCAAAAATGTGAACGGACCAGTGTGAAGCAGAAAGCATGTGGTCCTCCATGGGGCAGAAGAAAGACACGGAACAACATACTGGTTATGGAGAAGAGGCATTGAAATCTTGGAAAACTGCTCACTGGCAGGCCTGTGAACTGAGACATGGAACTTGGGGAAAAATTTCTGTATTTAAGCCTAGGCACAGAGATTCTGAATGGCAGAGCCAGCCTTCATTCCAGCCATTTCTGACATCTCAAATACTGATGCAACGGTTGTATCATCTTTTAATATTCTAAAGATAATACACATGCTTAGCAGAAAAAGTAGCCCAACTACAGTGACGTGCTACCCTAACTGCAATGGTCTACTTAATTTTTCCCATTTCATGTTTTTAGCTTGGATTATATTAGGTTGATTAACTTATCTGCCTAATTCAGTAAAAACATACTTCATCACTTGCTACGGAACCTCTTCTGCAGCAACCTGCTTGGCTTCCTGGTCTCTGTGAAAATGAACTCCTGGGGAATGGCTGCATCAGCTCCCCCAATATGTTCACATGAGCTATTTTACTTTATATAGCTCTTTCCTATGTGAGCTGGCATGTCACTGTCTGTAACTGGGGAGGGTATTTACAGCACCTGTTAACGCATCGACTGGTGGTGGTTCAGTATAGGACTTCACTATCACGTGGCAAGCCTCGCACGGGGTGACAAAGTGACTCACTTCTTCCTGGTGAAGCCCCCACATCTCTGTGATCGCTGTGGTTAGGGAACTGTACGGCAGGCAGGACATGCACTACCTGAATGTAAACATGCAACCTAAAAAGATCAATTGCTTTGGCAGGTTCTAACCACATCTGAATGTTCCAAATAACAAAGAGCTTAACAATTTCTTGTATGTCATGTGGTCCGCCACATGCTTAGTTACTGGGAGAAACGCTCCCTAATTGGAATTAGGAGTACAGAGCTTGCTACAGATAGACTATAAGAGAAATCTGACAGAAAAAAGATTTGGCTCCCCAGAATGAGCAATTAGTTGTCCTTGACTAGTATAGCAGGGAAAATTTTACTTGCAGACCTTCTGCTTTGAGATTTGAACTGAGAGCATGATTAAAAAATAAATCCAGTCCTGATTTAAAACACAAACAAAAGCTACATGAAAGAATCTATAAATCCACCAAAACACCAGTAAACAATCCTCTGCTCCACAAAGCAGGCAATGACAGACACACAAATCCCAACACCCAACCAACCCCCCTAAACATACTCTTCCTTGCTAATAGAAGTGGGGTGCAGGAAAGAGGTAGAGTCAGACATTTCAGCTTGAACTCCTCTTAAAAAATCAAATAATAAATCGATAACATGGCAAGAAGAGCAGGGTGGGAACAGACAGGCAAAGGGCTAGAGATATACCCAAGTAGCTGGTGTTCCCCTTCTGCCCCGACTGGCTGCTCTGCAACACGCTTACCGGGATCCCTAGAGCTTTGAGAATATTCATTTTACACATCGGGCAGGTACGATGGTCTAGCAGCCAGGGGTCTACGCAGGATTTGTGGAAAAGGTGCCTGCAATGAAAAACAGGGTATTTTAATTCAAATCCACCACAGCACAATTTACCCCTTAGTACTAGATGCTTCTTCTGGATTCAGTAAAGTGCGAGTATTTTTAAAACATTCTCCCCAACTTTCCTGCTCTTTAGAAGTTGCTCGTCAGCGTGAGCTTCTAAACAATCCCAGCCCTGAAGGGGTTGTTCCTAATCCCATGTTCGGTCTGAAGTGACCACTAAGCAGTTACTGAGCCCTGGGGCTGCTGGGGGCCACTTTTCTTAGACATTATCCATGTGGAGGAACTGAAAGCTGCTTGTCTAGCTTTGCCACACACAGACTGAGATTGAATATAAAGGTATTTAGTGTGTGTACCTGACTGACAGATTGTATTTTCTCTTGCAAGCATATTCTGTTACTGTCTGGGTTATAGAGGTCAAACATTATAAAATGCAGGGATGTAGGGCTCTGGATTTAAAAAACACTGTTGAGTAGGCCAAGTAGAGCAGTCAGGACTCAGTTCAAGGCAGTGAAGTTTGCTCAGCTCCACTCCTCCTGAAGAAAAGTCGGAAAGTTTCCTGCCATGCACATAGCCTCAGAAATTACACTGGCATGTAGGAAACTGAAAATGGACTTGCCTTCCCAAAAACCTTTTTTAATCAGTTAACTGAATAGAGTAGTTCAGCTGGAAGGGACCTTAGTCCAACTGCCTAATATAACTTAATAATAATAACCTAAGCAAAATTGAAAGAGTATATTTTATTCTGAAATACAAGGCTCAACATACATACTCAGTCTCGCTCCAAAAGGTGCAAACTAAGACTCATCTGCTTGTTTTGCGACACCCTACAGATCAGCTCTAAATTTCCTTTCTGAGGCTTGCAACAGGTGCCCCACGTTTTACTTGTCAGAGCCTGCAAGTCCCGTTTCAGTCTGCTTGAACCGTCACATCTGAGCCGTCCCCAGCCCCTGTTTCCCCGCGCCGTCGCTGCGCCACGAGCGCTGCCCGCGGAGCACTGCCGCACGAACCCTCCGCGGAGCCGCAGGCGGGCACAGCTCACGGCTGCCCACGGCTCCTCCTGGAGCAGGGCACGTACCAGCCTCCGCGAGGAAACGCAAGCTCGGAGAAAGTCAGAATCACTTAACGCACCGAAATAATTTTAAAATATTCAAGTGGTACGTATTCAGCCGAATGGGTCAACTGCTGTACTGTCGTGGCCTCTCTCACGCAACAGGATACACACAGCCTTTCAGCTTGATGGAAGATACTGAGGTGCACTTTCACCAGTATCGATCTGCAACCCTGGCTCTTACTAACATGGTATCAGCCCACACACTAGCTGGCTGGCTTACTAGCTGGCTTCGGTCCTAAATAACACTAGAAATTCAAAGCCCAAACTGTGTGAAATCTCAGAATCTTATTCTTTTCCATGCACTGTTTTTTCTCACTACTTCTAGAAGAAATGGGTCCTTTGTGAAACAAAGCTACATGGCAAATTATCGCATTCCTGTACTTGGTCTGACTTCACACAACTATGGGAAAGGGCAAATCTGTTCTTGGAAGTTCGACCTAGTCTAATTATATCAGTTGGCTGCAATACCAAACTTTGTCAAACCTCATCTGATCCTGTATGCCAACATGATTAACACAAATGAAGTATCGTGATACTTGAAGTTTAAACCACTACTTTACTAAGGCTACTAAGGTTCACAACCCTCCTTCCAAACAAGACTTGCCTTATAGGATAAAAACATAATGCACCAAATTTTGGTCTCTGTCCTGCATAACCTCCTTTTATCTCGGGAGGGACATACTCTGCACATCATCAGGCAAGTGTTCTGAACAGGTGAAGGCATAAAGATTCAGTCCTCAGACATACGTAATTTTACATTTAGAAGTCTAACCAACAGAATTCCTTGGCTGTGTTAATTCATGGAGGGTACTGAAAGTCAATGTCTTGCTTTTCAGCTATTTGAAATAACCATGAATTTCTTGATAGTGATTGGCTTTCTTTAATTTTATACTCAAGTTCATAAACAAATATGTTTAATGGCAAACATCTGCATCATGTTTGTGCCAAAATAATCAGTACATTTACAAAATCTGAGATATTTATTATTCTCTTGAAAAAACTCCAGATTTCCAGAACCTGTTTCGGACAAAGAATATGTAACTTCTACAAAGCCATTTTACCACAGACTAGAAAGTCCCCTTTTGTTTTCAAGTCCAAGCTTTGCAAGCCTCAGTCAAGCTGTGGTTCATATTGCAGCATTTCATAATGTTTGTTAATAACCAAAAGCTTGGAACTTTCATGCCTTAGAGACTTTAAAAACTGAAGTTTACTGTTCCTAAAGTTGGCTTCAAAAAGCAATATTCTAAAAGAAATCCTATAAATGCCGAGTAATTTAAATACATGACAGATCGCATCACTTTGCACTTCTCAATACTAAATTAGACAGTGCATCATTGCTCTATTAATTTCAGATTTAATACGTACAACAGAAGGAACTTGATTATTTGACAGAAATCTACAGAAAAACGTAATGAAAATCAGATAAAGATTTGAATTTTTAAATTTTTGTAGCACATTATATAATCAGAGTGCTCTTAATATCTAGTTTTGAGCGTATAAACATTTCTGCATAAAAGTGAGGTGGCAGGCTTTGCAGATTTGTATTTGACGGTTTATTTAATCCATTATTAGCTACAGCACTATATACCTGCTTATGGCTTTCAATAAATTGTGAATTGTTTGATGTCCTGCAAAGTTTACCATCCCAATTCCAGCAAAATAAGGGTCAGCATAAAGTAAGCTGAGAGAACAGTTGTAATATTTCACTATCACATGGTAAAACAAAGATGTAAAAAGATCAACTGCAGCAAAAATCCCTCTTCCTCTGCAGTTCTGACTGATGCAAGTTTTAAAAGGCAGGAGAGGGTAGAGGCATCATGGATGAGTTCAGAAGTAATGACCCATACAGGGAAACAGTAAGAGAGATGTTTCAAGCACAGGGTTGGGACATGGCTTTGACAATCAAAGTCAAAGCTAGAAAAAAGGATTTTTTTTTTTTTTTTTCTGTTGTGTGCAACCACACACATTGCAAAACTATCTTGATTTGGATGGGCTGGAAAGTTTCTCAAAAGAACTGTAATTGATTAGTTGAGAGGAAGGCGAGAGGAGAGATGTCGTAACAATCCTCAGACAAAACAAAGGCTTCCGTAAGGAGAAAGGAAACAACTGTTCTTCACCTCTCCTAGAGATAAGACACACCAAATTTCAGTCACATTTTGGATGTGTTTAAACTGCAGCAAGTGAGATCCAGGTTACACAACAAGAAAAGCTTCACCACAGTCAGGGTAGCAAAGCACAGCAATAAATTATCAGGGGAATTTGCAGAGTCTTCATCTTGGGAGACTTCAGAGTGTGTTGGAAAAAACTCCCAAGAACGACACGTGCACGGCCAGTGCTCCCATGCTGTTCCTGAGGTGGTGGCCTCCTGGGGTCCCTCCTGCACTCTTCTACAACTCTGTGACTGCACACGGCTGTGTAAAGCTTACTGAGCTCGAAGGAAGAAAAAGAACCTCAAAATCCCAGAGCATTTCATTTACTATTATCTAAATAGCACTTTGTTAACTGGAGATTACTTTTGTTTGACATGCATTTAAATTTTCTTTAAAGCTGCAATTTTTTTCATATAAGAAAAAAAAATTCATTTTGGGCTTGACCTCAAATTATAATAATAATTTGATGTAAAACTATTGCAAAGCTTTCAGCTTGCTAACAATTTTGTGAAGCTTTTTTTCCAGGTAAAAGGAAACTGTTCTCCTCCCACCTTCAACTCCCGGTCCCAACTTTCCAAACTGTATGCAAACAAACATAGCAGTCATGTAATTTTTCTCAGACGAAAAGCGTGAGCTATGAGAAAAAGAGGCAAAAGCACAAAGAGAGGCACCCCCCAAGGGACCCTGTGTAAGAGCATCAGTTGCCTGGATTAGATGTAGGGCTGAAGCAGGGGAATGAAAATGGTTTTGGTAAGAGACTGAGCAGCACTGTAGTATCCAATGAGAAGGTTTGGGCTTTTGGGGGGTGCATGTATGGAACTAGTTGTTTATTTTTGAGGAAGAAGGAAGGACAAAAGACAGTGATGATGAGGGTAAGTGAGAGGAAGGAATCAAAGGGAAGAATGTGTGTGATAAATTACTTTTCATAGAAAGCTAATAAAGAGAGAAAGGAGTGAAGCAGTCTTTAAAATCACAGTTGTTCATGAAGTGAAGGTTCAGGGTAAGGGAATGAGCTGGAACAGGGTCAGAAAGTGTGTTTATTGGTGACAGAAATTAAACAACCAAAAAAAGAGTGTATGAAGAACTCAGTAGAGATGAGGTTGAAAGAATTGTCTTGCTTCTCTGTAGAAGTTTAGTAAAGTTAGTAAAAGTTTAGTAAAAGGTGCACATTGGGAGCAGCAGCATCAATAACTTCTCCAAAGACAAAGCAGAAAAGATGAAGGCGTTTTGAAGCTAGAGATGGAGGACAAGCAGGAACTAGGGCTATGACAAGAGATGTTGCCCTGGGAACAATGAACTTGGTTACATTTGATGTTGTGTCAGTGCCCTCAAAGTTAAGTTCAGTGATGCTTGCTACCATTAAACATAAAACCAGCTGCAAGCCAACACTTTTTTATCAAGTGTCAGCCCTTATTTATTTAATACAGTCTGTAGAGTGAAGTTTATTAATACAGTCAGTTGTGGGAGTTGGCTAAAGAGGACAGAGAGGAAGAAGCACAACTTAACTGGAATTTTCCTCCTAGCTCTCCAGAATGGGATATATAACAAGAGGCTATCCCAGCGCCAGCTCTCTGCCAGCAGAAAAGAGAGGACATTTGGGGAAACAGTGTAAGCACGAGTAAACATGTATCTACGTGACTTCCGAGCTCATCCACTGCAATATTGGCTAGTGGAATTTCAGTACCAATTTCTCAGGAGATTCAGGCTCCACCTGCCTTAAAAAGAAATCTCAAGATATACAGGGCTTTATACAGAGTGTGCCTGCTGGCAGTGGTTTTCTCAGAACTGCCTGCAGTAAAAAGCAGCATCTTACTGGTTCAGCTCTTGGGGCGTATTTGGCTTTACAGGGAAAAAGTTCTACATCTTGAGCACCTCCTGGTTAAAAACCACTAAGGTCAGCTAGCACTGGTGTTACATATGGTGCTGGCTTCTGTAAGGCTTGGTGAAATGCCAGCCTCTTATTAAACAGCAGTCTAATGTTTCCATACTAGAAACTGCACACAGTTTAATTGATGATGCTGGAGGAAGAAACGTACAGTCTGTAGGTCTTTATCAAGATATAACATTCTCTTACTCACTTGACAAAAATTAATCCGCTTTTTTTTTTTTTTTTTTTTTTTATTATTGGATGAAGAGACAAGACTGACAACAGCAGAAAGAATCATGACTCCTATTTCCTGTTTTGGAAGTCCAAACCCATGGGAATGTGTAAAATACTGCCCTCACAATTTGTGTAGCAGGAAAGCCAGGGTTTGTGAAGTAGCCGCTTGAGAAAGATCTTTGAGTTTTTATAATTCAAAACTGCTGAGGCTCAAACTGTGAGTATTTTACAAGACAGTTCTGCTGCTGCTACCCTTTTAGCATGAGTCATTTTCTAGACGACCTTTTAAGTCAGCCAAGAACTGAACATCACCTGTTAACTATGCGTTTCCTATTCACTCTGCTTGACTCAACACTGTGGATGACAAAGTCTGACTGTCTCATTGAATTATGAGGCAAGACACAAGTGAAAGCTAGAACTTAGACACATTTTTTGCTGTTGCATAACTACCTCCAAAAACTGCCTGTCTCTATCATGCAAAATTTTCACTTTTATTATGCTTCTATGAAAACAGGCTTGATGTCAAACCAAGGTCCACATTTTCTGGTAATTTCTGATTTTTCTCTATTTCTGCTTCATGAAGTCATGCATTTTTGTCTGTTCATAGAAAAAAAAAAAAGCAGCTCACATGCAATTTGTCATTGTGGGGGATTTATAGTAGGTCAAATTTATGATTAATCTGTTGCTTTTTGTTTGCCATTTAGTGATGGCAGTAAACAGATTTAACAAGTCACACAAATGAACAGAAATGGACAGCTCGTAACATTCAAATATCTACTAGGAAACACATCAGGAAAAGAAATATTTCATTTCTCAAGCTAGTGAACATGTCTGCAGGAGAAGAAAGAAACTATTTAAAAAAAAGTAATCTCTGCTCTGTAGGTACAGCACCCGAGATTCCTGTTTCTAAGGAAATCAGACATTTGCTCTTGCTCTCCTAGGGGAAACACTTCCTAGGAAATTTCCTACGAAACTGATTTCCTTAGAGAAATCCTTCATTAGCCAACACTTCACAGTCGACAGCACAATGGCACAGAGAGATGAATACAGCTGTTACGGGTGGCAAGCGGCTGCGCTCCTGTGTCACATCACTGCACAGGGCACGTTCACATGAGGGGAAGAAAAGAGAAAGAACAAGCCCCAAAGCTCATCTTGTCACCTCCATGTCCCACATGCCTGAGAATATTTTCACAGCAGCAACAGATAACGTGTTCTTTGTCACGTGCCCTTTCCGCTCTACCTTTATTTCCACTCAGCATATCTCTTTTAATGGCTGGGGTTTTTTTTGATAGAAGTCATCCCTTTGTCAGTGCCTGGACATGGCCCAGAACAGCAAAAGAAGTAGCTCCACAGGGAACAGGAGCCTGCTCTACCCCTGGCTGCTGTGCCCAGGGCTCACTTTGAAGTCAAGGGCAAATTCTTCTAAGGCACTTATTCTGGACTGATATAAAACCAGTGAGGAAAACAGAGGAATCAAACCCTTTAATTTAAAAATCCTACCGAAGACTTTGTGATAGGTCCAGATCAGAGAAAATTTCTGACTACCATGCTAAACTCAGTTTCTCAACATCATTAATACTTCCACTTCAAGGTGAATAAAGAGGCATTTCAGATATTTTTACCAACAGATTTTGAATAAATCAAAATGATAAACTCACTCTTTCCTCCCCAAGATCTCATCAGTGTGATACTGTGAGAACAGAGCCTCTCTTGAAGTAGAGAGACTATCAGAGCTAAAAGCAGCTTCAACCTTCAACTTACCTGCAAGGCAAAATTCTGACAACATCATTGGGCTTGTAGCCTTCAATACAAACAGCACAGTTATCAAAGTCTGGCTCAGTTTCCTACAGGAAAGAGAAAATTCATCATTTTCAATATTTTTATTTTGTCAGCTAATCTCTTCATACAAGAGCCTATGTGACAAAGTAAAATGGTCACTGACGCATGCTGCAAATCCAATAATGCATTTCAAGACAAGCAAGTCAGATTTTCCAAGACGTTTCCAGTTGGAAACTTGCCCTTGGAAGCATGCAGATTTAGTTAGCATGTTTTAACTTTCAGGATTTTCTTCATGTTCACAGAATCACCTTCTTCTCTCTCTACTCCATTCCATCCGTAAATTGCTTACCAGTATTCCTCCCCTGCCTCAAGGACACAGTAGATAAATAAGCAATTGTCATTTCTGTTCTGCCTCATTGTCCCAGCGGTCTGAAGGAATCCTCAGCACAGAGTTTCATTTGGTAATGAGCAATTTGAAAAATTACCTTATCACCTTTCCTGATTGTTCTGACTTGTAGCTTGCTGATTGCTTTCTTTGCAGCATCTCCAAGCCGGCGCTGTAATACAAAATTTGCTCTTAAGCAAAGAGTATCTCTTCATGCAGAAATCATCACCTTTTCTCCCTAGGTTTCTTAAAAATCTGAAGTGACTGTACATGAAACAGGACAGTGTTGCATAAATATAAACAGATGAGGTCAGTCATACTGTTATTCGAAATAAGGGCACAGTAGGTATTCTAGGCTTGCTGGCAACCCACGGCTGATGAGGCAAACTTACTCTAATGGAGTTCCAGTGGAGACTGCATGTGAGCCCATCATGATATTACACTACAGCACCTTTACTATTCCAGTGAGTAGCAGTGTATGCAACAAGTCCACTACTTGGGTGTCCTACTTCTTCCTTCTCCTTTTTTTTAATGACATTTGTAAAAAATACATTATTAAATGAGGTCTGGGATAGTAAGCAGAGTGAACACTGGACTTAGGATTCAGAAGGTCTTTATTCTTATGTCGTTGCAGAACTAGTTTATGATCTTCGGCAACACATAAATGTTGAATGCAAGCTGTTAATTTGTTAACCACGAAGAGCATGAACAATCTTCTCTGCTGTTCCCTTTTCCTGCAATAGAGTTGTCTACTTTACCAGAGCAATGCAAGCTATAAAAACAGGGAGAAAGCGTCTGCAGTTTCTTCCAGGTAATGCACTATATAGTCCCGCAGCAACATTCTATCCATACATAACCATTTGCTTGTTCTTTGCCTTTCTATCTTTCCCTCTATTGGACCATGAATTGCTTACCACGTGATATTTCTGAATCTTCTCCCACATTTCCAAAACACTGTTACTGTGCTGGCAGGGTCACAGCCACTCAGGATTAAAGTATGCAATAACAGCCTGACACAAAACACCCTGTTCTCAAACGCTGAAGATTGAGATGCCTGCCTCTTGCAGGAGGCTGAGAATGTTACAGGGCAGTTCGTACAATCCCTGCTCAGCGGAGCTACCTCCGCATGCTGTGTTACTGAGCTTGTGCCTCTATCAGTGCTCCAAGGACTTGGCAGCTCACTTGTGCTAACCCCACAACGAGGCAATCTGGAGACAGACTCACGGGCTGGAAAGGCCTTTGAGAGGTCATGTACTCCCACCCCCTGCTCAAGGCTGGGTCAACTTCAAAGTCAGAGCTATGTCCAGTCAAGTTTTGAATATCTCCAGGAAGGGAGATTTCACAACCTCTGTGGATAATGTGTTCCAGTACTTAATCACTCTCACAGTCTTTTTTTTTTTTTTTTTTTTTTTAAATACAGAAATGGAATTTCCTTTGTTGTAATCTGTGACCGTTACCCTTGTCCTTTCTCTGTGCACCTCTGAGAAGAGCCTAACTCTGCCTCCTCTCCAGCCACCCGTTATGCAGCTGAAGGCTGCAAGCAGAGCCCTTCCTCCTTCTCTGCTCCCCTCCTGGCTTAGCAAGCCGAGCTCCCTCCGCCTCTCCTCAGATGTCGTGTGCTCCTGTCCCCAGACCGTACTGGGACTTTCCTCTGGGTTCTCTCCAGTTTTTTCATGGCTTTCTTGTACAGTTTCATGCAGCAACACCTAATCCGATGCCTTCTCGTCAGTTTTTTAACAGTTCATGATACAGTTCATTCCAATTTGCCACCAATAAATGACCCAAACCTTTCTCTCCACCTCTCCTCCCCATCCATGTTTCCCGTCATGTGCAGTTAGATAGGAGGGTTACTTAGGGGCTTTGCTGACTTAGAAGACATTCAACTTTTCGGGCTGGGAACACCGCCTGTGCTGAAGTTCAGAGGGGCCTGTCAGCGGGAAGGGTTTCCAGCTGGAGGGTGTGAGAGCACGAAGCCAAAAATGGAAGGAAGCTGGATGTAGTTTGTAAATTGAGACCTAATCACCATACAGATACCATTAATAAATTACCACTTTGTTCTTCAGATTCAATTAAAATCACTAAATTAAATTTAGAGAGTAAGTTTATTGGATTGGAAAGACATGGAAGACTAACAAAATGCATGCAATACTGAAAGCAGAGAGCAAATTCAGATCTGGATAAAGAGATGAAAATGATCTTGGCTATCATATGAGATTTACATATGAGCTTTCCAGCATAAGTAATTATTACACATGAGGGAGTATCATGTAGTTATACAACATCTTTTCTGTGGTACATTTTTCTCAGGGTCTCCCTTAAATAAAGGGAACAGATGAGAGTTGGAAACATTTCTTGCCAGCTATTTGTTTCTTTAATGTAAATCAAAGACCGACTGATAACATACAGCAAGACAAGAGCCATTACGTCCTGCTTCAGGAACTGCCTGTGATTCCTTTTTATCATTATTATTACTTAAACTAATGAAATGTCTCAGTCCTTTTTTGCACGTTCTTCAAGGGGAAAGGACAAGATTAAAGACTCATGTACATCTTTGATCTGCTTGTTTTCATGTTTGCTTTCTCTTATCTATCTTAAATAGACAAGTTCATGACTTACATGCAAATAAGACTAATTTAGTTTTTGAAAGAACAGGAATATCTTGGAGTAATGTCATACTTTCAAAGGATTCTTCCATTTGAGCAAAAGGCACACTAACACTAACCAATGATTTCCCCTAAAAGATAAGAGGCATTATAATAGTTTAAAGGTTTAATGTGAGTCTTAGAGTTTCACAATTATTAATCTCATAATCCCATTAGCAAGGCTGCAACATTCAGTACTGGACTGGAAGGAGTTAAGCATATCAGATGCAGTGGTCTTGTGGAGATAGTGATACTAGTTAAAAAGAAGGGACAGTAGCGTGGAAAGCATCACTTGTCTGTTCCTGAGGAAGTAGATGACTATAGATGCTGTGGAAAAAAAAATACGGTGTTTCTCTCTTAATGGCTTTACTAAACAATCACCTTTGCAGGGAGGACATCGCCTTGTGCCTTGTGCAGAATGAAGCACACCTTCAGGACAAGGTATCAGACACAGCTCCTGTACCACAGATAAAGTTTGTGGACTCCATCATGGGAAGCATCTTCCCAAGACTGCCTCCGAGACTGATGTCTCTATTCAATGGCCCAAAACTCTCATTCAAAGTCATGGCCAGCAGTCGTCCTTCTCAAATAATTGCTTGACCCTCCACATGCCACCAGACACATACTAAAGTAGATCCTTCACTGGAGATTAACTCAGGACCCTCCTCAGCCCCAAAGCAATCACCGTGTGCTTTGGCTCTTACTATCCTGCAAAAGTCACAGAGCCCACCTGGTTTCAAAACAACTTTACAGTAAACTTCTTAACAAGAAACCAATGGGAAGAAATGACATAGAAAAAATACAGTCAGCAGGTCTGGCACTTAAACATCATCCCCCTGCCACCTTCCCATCTTATGTCTCAGAGATGACGAAATGAGAACTCTATTATTACTGGTGAAATAAGAAATCTGATACACTGTCAGGGTGGTTTTTTGTTTTATTTGTTGTTGTTCAGGGGTTTTGTTTCTTTTTTTTTGTTTGTTTTTTTTTTTTTTGGTGGGTTGTTTTCGTTGGTTTGTATTTTTTTTTTAAACCTGTGTCTTGACTGTTACAGGGTTGAGACAGCAAGTCAGATTTTGCTTAATTATCTCCAGGACTTAACTTGTCATGTAATTTCAAACTGCTTTCAATTAACTCTGCAACCTGATGTCTCTTGATGCAAACAATTCCCAGCCTCTTTCACAGAGAAACTCTCATCTTCAGGAGGGCTCCAGGAACAGGCTGCTGCGGAAGTGGATTGCCTATGCTTTCCTTACACAAATCTCCCCTCTATATATCAAAAGGGCATATCATCAGGGCAACCACCTACTTCCTGGACATCTTGTTAGGTGAGAAAAAAAGAAGAGGCCTTGGATTTTCATCCATGTGAATATTACTACCTACCTTCTAATTCCACACGCACCATACAGTCATCTGTGCTAGAGATACCCCTAAAAATTAAATGTATTACGATCAAGACTGAAATCTAACCATATTTGTAGCTGACACCCTGGCTGCAGGTGTGCAAGCCCACAATGCAAGCCAGTTTTGCTCTCCACTGCATTAATTCTCAGCCAAACTGGGATGAATGGGCCAGGGCATTCAACGAAAATCCTTGAAGTCCTGATTCTCTGCTCATCAAAATCAGGCACATAACTGGAGTGAGCTGGGTCTTCCTTCTGGCACAGTAAACTGGATTTTGCACACACAGTGAGGAAGAGTGGTGGCTGAAGATGTACATGCTCTACGTCCAGGTTTCATCTCACTGGGGAGTCACAGGAAATCATTCCAGGAGATCCTTCAGTCTTTCTAGCTGCCTCTCTCACTAGCTGGACTCTTGATGGATAGTTAAATCTACATTCTGGGTGTACTGCTTGATCAGTAATTTATGCTATGTGCAAGAAGGGAAGAGGACGTGGAAAGGAGGGTCACCATATAAAAGAGGACAAGGAGGCAAAGGTGGTTATGAGGCTTGACAAAAGGACACACGATGTTTTTCACCAAAGGAAGACATAATTGTGATGGGTCAGCTTGGAAGAGGCAAAATGGAGGATGACTTAGGGAGACTTGAAGTGACCAAAGAAAGGTGTTCAGAAATCTTGCTTTCATATAACAGTGCAACACCCCTCCTGCTCGGAGATAACGGCTTTTCTGCCAAGCATATTTTGCAGTCAGCCACATGGTCCCATTCCCTCAGCACAGTATCCAGACTACCAATCTAGAGGAGGCTGAACTGCTCCTGGTAGCAACTCCAGTACCAGTGAAACCTAGGAAGGGCGTGCATGAGAGAGGTTAACAAAGAGGTAAGAATAGGTTCTTATCTGACACAGGAAACATAGGCCCTCATAAGCGCTTGTTTTAAAACTCTGGGAATTTTAAATCATTCAAATGTCAAAATGAATTGAAGCTTTTTATTTTTTTTTTTAATATTCTACTTTTAACTGAAGTCTAATAAACGAGTTGCAGTTTTTTACACTTTCAGAACAGGGCAGGCAGTTAGATTCTATCGCATTGCAGGGTAGGAACTGATAGCACAACTTTCTTTGAACAGGTCAGCTGGCTCCCCCTTCATCTGATGCTCTGTTTATCCAAACATTTCAACCTTTGGATAAACTTTAGCCTGATTACACCAAATACAAATAGAAGAAAGCATCTTTCCTAAAGTTGGCCAGTAATGAAGGTGCTTACAACACATGCAAGGCTTTCCAACAAGTAAGCACAATACCTTCACACAAACAGATACATGCAAGTTATAATGGCAAAAGCTTTTGAGCACAATGACAAAAGAATCTTGTTCCAGGAAAGCAACACAGTTTTTCTTGTATACACCAGAATATCCAAGATACTGACAGAGGACTTTGTGATCCTACCATTGTGCTACAAGAAAATGTGCCAAAGAAAAAAAAGTAATGAACCAGCAGAACTTTAGGGGAAACAGAGAGGGAACCTCATGGAAAGAGCAAGAGCAAGACAAGCTCTTCTGAACTACCTACATCTTTATATTCCACAGCCAGGACTAAAACAAAAAAAAAAAACAACGAAACAAAACAAACCACAGCAACTCATTAACAGAAATGGTCAAGCTGTGTCTGTATATCACTACTATTTTTCATATGAAAAGAGGTAATAAAGAGATTAGAGGAGCTGTCAGGCAAAACTGCACGAAGGAAGTATGCAAAGAAATTCTAGTTTGCCCCATATCATTATTACACCTTTGGTAAAAATGAATAATAAACGATTGCTTAGGAGGCATGCTTTCTTATTCTTCTAAAGAACAGAACTAGTAACAAAGTCATTAAAACCTCCGCATAAGACAACTGCCTGTGCACATGTTAGTCTTGTTCAATCTTTCGAAAGAAAACACTGAAGAGGAAATCTCCTTGATCATATAAACCCATCAGTTTGAAACCATAGCATATTACCTCATTGAGCTTCTTATTTTGCTGGGTTTCATGTTTATGTATGTCTATTTACACTGCTAATCTGCCTGTATAATTACTTGATTGAAAGCACACTTAAGGTACTCACATACATAAATTAGGCACACATGTGCTTTTGCAGCCAAAGCATCTAAAAATTATCACAGCCGTTACAGTCACAGCGAATCTGCTGCCAGTGATGTTCAAATTCCAGCTGGGATAGTCTCATTCTTGCTATCCAAAATTTCATACTGTATATTTAAAAGGAAAAATATATTCTTTCTGTCTGTAAATACAGAGCAGCTGCTCTCTATCTCAGAGGGTGACTGAATTTCAGTGGGGGAGGGTGAGGGATCCCTATATGTTAAGTATACATTACAGAGTGTGTGGTAGTACTTTTCTCTACAAGATGATTATTAACACTCTCAGTTTTACTTTTTCTGCAGAGCAAGCAAGGCAGCCCTCCCCTTGCCCAGTAATTTATTAAGCATCCAGAAGCATCTCTGAATTACAGTGCATTTTTTTTCCTTGCAGTAAAATTGTTATCTCCTCAGATTTCATACATTGATAACATTTTCTACTGTACCATTAGAATGAAATGTAGAAGCCTCAGCTTCACAGTTCTGCTGATGCTGAGATAGTTGTATCCAGACAAGAAAAGATTAAATTTATTATTATCATTGCTATTATTATTCATTGCTGAACTACCATAAAGATGCACAGTGTTTTATAAATCCAGAGAGCCTCAGGACCTAGGCCTCATTCCCACTGTTATTGATGTCTCTCCAGCTCCACAGGTTTTGCATCTCTTTCAGGGGGGGTTGGACAAGATGCCAAAACCAAAAGCAATGTTTTAATAATAGTGGTGGCTATCACTACAGCACTTATATATTCAGTGATCATTGTCAAGTGAACAGGGACATGTTTGCCTTTCAAGCCCAAGACCCTTCTAAAGAAGTATTCAAATGAAAACACTTTCCGTTCTTTTATTCTTTCTTCACTTATCATGAACCCTTGTTTCACACACAGACATTTACATACCTCACTATATTTTAGTCAACATTTTGATCTCGACTTTGTTAGTTATGTAAATTTCTATGTCACTTGGCTATATGTACCAAGGCAATCTTTTCACTAATAAACATTATCAACTTCCTGTCTATTTCTTGTGTGTTTTGCATGGGAGAAAAACCCCATAATATATATACACATTATATTTATTAATTTACTGTTTCCTGAATCCCTCCTATAGTGACAGAAGTCTTGGCTTTTCTCAAACAGAGGCATTTTGATATCCCCATTCTTTACACTTCCTTGGGTTTAGTTTTGGTTTGTCTTTTTTATCAGACATTCACAATTTCCTCAACTTTTACTTTTACGTTGAATCCCATGGTGATTCTCTGGAAACACAGACAGCCATTCCGGCACTGCTCACCTGATTTCTGTCTCTGGCATTTGCGTAGCGGAATCGCTGGATGTAATAGAAGACCAGCCACGCCAGCGAGATGATCATCAGCACAATGAAGGAGATGGAGACGAACACCACAGAGGTCCGGCTGACGTACTTCTGCAAGTTGCGTGTCCCAATGGTTATGTACATCATCACAGTAATGTTCCTCTCCAGGAGGCTCACTATCTCTTTTCCTTTGGGTTCAGGAATCATTATTGCTACAACATCTTCCAGGCCTGTCAGACAGGAGAGAGAGAAAATAATCTTTAAGTAAAACAAGTGATCGCCAAAAGGCAAAACAGTAATAAAAAAGCTCCCCTTTCTCCTGCTCTCTCCTCCTGCTCACCAAAAGGTAAGCCAGATGAATCTGGTGAAGATTTCAACTGGAATCAGTTACATAGCGTGTTTCTATAAACTAATCTCTGTGAGATATGTAAAATGCGTTTCCTGGGTTGACATAAACACAGATATCCAGCACTACTGAAGCTTATCAAGATGATATAAGCACTGCAGAAAGGGAGATATGTTGCAGCCAGCATCCTTCCATCCAACACTCCATGTACACTTATCATAGCTCATTTTGCAGGGTCAGGAGTCTGTCAGAGGAGCCCCTCCGAACTCCGCATTCAGATCAGAAATACTTTCACTCACAGATCCCCATATGGCTTCACAACCTGAACGCGCCAAAGCATCGCTGCCCTTGCCTGGGGCTGGCAACAGGAGAAGCCCACAGGGACAAGAGCAGCTCAACATGGCCCCAGCTCCCCCGAGCCCACGCAGATATTTGGGAGCCCCTGCTGGGAGCTGGACTCGCCAACTGATTGAAGTTTAAAGTCAAGAGCAGTGTTTTATTCCACAAAAAAGCCCAGATGCAGCCCAGGTCAGCCTCGGCGCAGTTTGCAGCATGGCCCCCCCACAAGGATGTGAGTCAGCACAGCTGAGGCAGCGGTGTCCACTACTGGCAGGGGGCAGGGACCTCCTATAGTCCCAACGATCTTTCTGTAGCCACAATCCTGTGAAATGAGCCCTCCACTGTCCTATCAAACCTCAACTCTGCACCAGCTTTCTTTTCTGTGCAGTGCTGTTTCATTTTACTTGCATCACATGCTGCTGAAACTATTTCCTTTTTGCAATTTTATGTTTTATGTCCCCTATATACATGACAAATATAATCTGAAATTATCTGGGACTGAGCAGCTTGTTAAATGCCTTCTCTGGCTTTTTAATGGTTTAATAGTAGGGATATTCTGTTCTTCCACTTCACAAAACAAGTATGTAGACAATTTTCACACTTCAGCTATGCTTTGCTATAGTCAAATCCTGAAACGCACTAAGTGGCTAAGGACAAACAGGATGCATTTCAGTGTAGAAATGGGCTAGAAACAACAGTGTATGAAATGATCACAAACTGGCATTTAGAAAGAAAGGTACAAGCTGGGGGCATCTGGAGTCAGAGAGATGATGCTGGGGTGGGGGTTTCAGAATTTCAGGTGAAATCTCAGGAAATCAGCCAGCATGTTGTTAACCCCACTGGCTGTGGCAGGAGGGCGAAGTGCTGCCTGCCCTGGGATATTTGTGGAGGTGGGAAGGGATTGCTCGGCCGTCAATGGACACGTGAGAGGGTGACTCGCGTTTCCAACAGCATCCCCCTCCAAGCTGATATCCAACCTGAGCTTCACTGGTGCAGCACTATGCCCTGGTCCTCATGGTCCAGCTCAGACATTTCTCCACCAAAAACCCCTGGGAGGTATAAACCAGGTTTTTAAAGGTATTTAGATGCTAAAGACCAGAAGGTGCCTAGCAGGATTTCAGATATACTAAAGCAGACAGCTGGGTGGTGTTCAATAGAAAACACTGACTGTGGTGGAAATTTTACCAAATCCTGCTAGGAACTTGGATCAACTGGAGATACTCAAATAGCTGTGACAGACTGCTGCTACTCGCACACAGAATCTGCTGCAAAGCTGGGAACCGAACCCTCCTCTCTCAAGTCTTGGAGTAGAAGTCCAGACACCACCACTCTTCCACTCATGAGACTTTCCATCGTAACACTTTCCTAATTATGAACGGATCAGTCAATGAATAGGGGGAAACCAATAGTTTGACTGAGTCAAGAGTTTTAGGTATCTATGACAGGAAACTTAACCCTTCTGCTGATACCCTTCCATAAAGCACTAATAATTTTCAGCTATCTCCCTTTATTTGTCTAGTAAGCGCCCACCTTCAGCAGCCAAGATAAATCTACCTTTGCAACTCTTCTGATACCTGTTTATTACAAAAGGCTAATGCAAACATTACCCTAACAGCCCAGGAAGAATTTGCCAAGTCTCAAAGTGGCTGAGAAGGGCACTGGTGCCATGCCAGTAATTTTCCTGCAGTCAATAAGACAAATTATCTGGAGCAGTGTTTAGCTGTTCACATACCTGCCTTTGTTCTCCTCCCTTTCTTTAAAGAAAAGAAAAATTTTAAAATCACTCTACAAGAAGACCAAAGCAACCACCCCACATGTAGCTAAAAAAACCCCAGCCAAAAATTCCACAGCCAAAAATACTGAAACTAAAATTTCACCAACTCCTCTCAAAAGCCACCATTCTGACCCTCTCACTTGTCCAGAATGGACCTCTAACATCATCTTCAGTAAAATCTGGGACACTGCATCAATTATGTTACCTGAAAGCCTATTAAAATGGGAAATACAGACAAAACCATTTTCAGTGAAAAATATAGGTAGTATCTTAACTGTTTAATTATTTTGAATCTTAAATTTCCTCAAAAACTTTAACATGTTTAATTCAACCGAATATAGCTTAGTATATTTCTGGAGAATTGTAAATAATGGGCACAGGCCAAATATGACGCGATGCAAATAAAGAATCATATTAAATTGTTCGATTATGAAATTAATATTTTTGTAATAGTAAAACAAGCAACCCACAGTAACGTCCTGTCTTTCTTTAATAGCAAAGTATTGAAAAAGAGGGAGAAAAATTTATCTGCATAAATTTAACCTCATTCCTGTTTTTCATCACCTGCCATTTCTGACTGAGCTACAGTGAAGTTTTCTGGCTTCAATTCATGGTGGAAACATAACTGGTTTTGAATAGGAGTGCAGCCACACACCTCCCTTCCCTGCTCTCTTCTCCCTACCTCTTTCTGCCAGCATGGTCTACTGCTACCTCAGGCCTAGGGCCTGTTAAGATACTTCAAAAAACACAAGATACAAAGTAAACTGCCATGGATATACGCTAAGGAAAACTGCCTTTAGAAATGCAAAGTAGAAAGCACAGCTATTGCAAGAAGAGAGCAGCTGCTTTTATTTATTCAAATCCTTAATATATTCAAATTTCAGGCTATCTGGTTATTTTCTTGGAAAACATTACCATTTGTAATGAAGCATTCTTGGAAAAAGATAACCAAATCAGCAACAAATAATAATCAGGATTTATTTTTTTAAAAAGCATTTTATTGAGCTTATGATAATTTCTCCAAGGCACTACAGAGAGTGCTATTTGAGCAATCAAGTCATTAAGCTAAATTTTTAATCTCAAATATGCTCAATATTGGGAAGAAAATAAAACAAAGAAGCAGTAATTTATTTCCCTTTCCTCGCTTATACAACAAAACTTTTGTATTATCTCAGTTTCAGTATCTAATAACACACGAGAAGCTCTGACATACATGTAAATGAAACACATTAAAGAAGCGAATTAATGTAATGAGACATCAGTGTTAGAGATGCATTTCTATGCCCAGGTACACATTTGTTCAACATATTTCAAAGAGAAACTATCTGGTAACATGTACTGATGCTTCTCTGGTGAGTTGAATGCTAACAATCCCTTTCATTAAACACACCCACAATGGTAACTGCATTTTGTGGCACTCTTGTTACCTAACACATTTCTTTTCTTTTTCTGGCCAAGATTAATGCAGAGTTTGACAAGAATTTTTAAGTAGCTGTCAGAATGAATCACAGATTCATAAATGAAAGGTATTCAGGCTGCAGTGAATGGATTTTTTTTTTCTTTTTCTTTTTTGGCTTAGGAAACATTCAACATATTGGTGCTCTCTCCTCAGGAGCCAATAACGAAACAAGTAAGGTAGAACTTACAGGCATTTGGGATGATATGTCACTTGAAATTGCGGAAGCCTAATCAAATATTTCTGGCTGAAGAAAATGTGCTGCCAGTCTTCAGGCAGCTATTCTGCTTCTGGGCTCTGCATCCCCCGGCATCACGCAGGCGGGCCGTCGGCACTGTCACCGGTGGGCATCGGGGAGGCCTGGGCATTGCTGGCTCCAGAGTGGCCACGCTGGAGAGCTGTGGGCAGGCTCAGCTCGTTTCCCAGTCAATGGGCCAAGCATGTAGCCCTGTGGCTAATCCATCAATGGCCCAACAGCTGCACCAAGACGCGGCAACTCTACTTGCAAAGAGTTGCTCTGAAATCGGTAGCTCTTGATATACTGAATCCCCCAAGCGCTATGCCTTCCCGTGGGGGTCATCCTGGGCTCCTCCTTGCCCTAGCCCACAGGAGGAGTCCCATCTCCTAAGGAAGTAATAACAGCTGGAGGAACAGCAGAGCCAGGGGAGACAGGCACCAGCCACCCTCCAACACCTACGTCTGGCGGCAGATGACTGAGCTGCGAGGCAGTGACGAAGTCAGAGAGTGTTTCCAACAGCAAGATGCACACTTCAGAAAACAACCCGGAAGACCCTCTCCAAACCTTTCTCCTCCATACAGCACTTGGCTATGGAAATGCATTTCAGCTGGGATGCTTCTATGCAAAATTGCAAACTTTTTCAAGTGTAACAATCTATTCACTGGTGACAGAGGAAAAGAAAGACTTCAGTTCTATAACAGTGGCTTTTGTAGAAGAAATGAACAGATTTTTACAGCCAGAAGATGTACATAAATTCTCCACCTTGGCCACAGGCTGTGCTAACAAACCTGTGATATTTCTTGATTCTGCTCTGGGCGCTTCAGGGGTGATACTGAAAATGGTCCTCTGTTCTCCTAATTAGCAGTCAGGCCCAGCAGTGGCAGGCTGCTGCTTTAATGCTCTGACAATTTCTGACGGAGACTCTAAAAAGCACTATGTTTCTGAGACATCTTAGAAGAGACGATTTAATTCTTCATGCTTGGCAACTGCCAGAAGTCAGCCAGAGAAATAATTAATTGCGTTATTTGAATAGAATTCAAATTTGGGAGGCATATAGTCTTCTCCGGGATATTCTAT